CTGTGGTTGAGCATTGTATTCAGGGGATTTATTACGCCTACTCATGGTAAATAATATATGAAAAGATGTCATTCACACTTGCAAATGTTATTGATTATCATCTCGAATATTAATGAGGATTAAATTCTGTTTTAAGCTATTCGCGGCGATGGAGTGCCAAACTTTTCTCCAGAAAATTCAGCTGAGGCGTAAGTAAATATTTTTTAAGAAAACAATTTAAATTCTGAGTAACGTTACACAAGTGTACACTTGTGTTTCGTATGAACCATTATTCGTCCGACTGCGCACATGCACTTCATAATGTGTCGTCAGGGCAATTTCGTAGCTTTTTGCATTTTTTCCCATTTATTTCGTTCACATGTTACTTCACTGAATCAAAATCATACAAATGTTTCGTCTCGATAGATCGGTCTGTGTGTTAACATTGCATATGGGTACTTCTTGTTCTATTTTTTGCTATCAAAGTACATTCTAAAATTATGACTGGCCCAAATAAACATTTGTTTATTTGGTTTGGCTAATGAGGGATATATTCTCCTTCGTAAGAGAACCACCGATTGCAGAAGAATAAGCTCATGCATACATAATGAAGAGAATCTTTCAGTCGTTACTGCAGGTGCATAGAAACTGAATGGTTTACTAACTGCAGTTATTGAATTAACACCATAGGGCATTATACCCGTACTGTAGTTTGGGTTTCAAATGTCGGGCAAAATTCCAACGAAGGCCTTTGCGCGCGCCATATTTTAATTGTCAGTGCCAGGTTATCGGTTCTTTACATGGTACTGCGACTGAATTTGAGGCATAGCATCTCGTACATTATTTAAAAGTGCACAACTCCTTCCTAATAATTCGAGTAAGATGGAGAACTGTATTAAAAACTATACTTAGAAGCCTACAAAACCGCAAAATCGATCCGAGCATACGGATGCGAGGATCTAAATAAAACACATTTCCCTTTGCTCACGATCATAACAACGCGTAGTATTATATAAAGCTCCGGGACAGCTTAACCTCTGACTTAGGTGATTGTATATATTTGAAAAATAAAGAAAGTAGGCATCTGTCCGCACGAGTTAGTCCTTAAGCACTCTTTGAGGCAGCGACTTGTGCAGTTGATGGTGTGAACATTCCCTTGATAAGAACTGCTAATGAAAGTAGCCACTTTTGGGTCTAGCACTCCGCAATCATTAACGGCTGCGACTGGCCTTTTTTGGTCAACCAATATCACACTCCAAATGCCTAGTTACAGTTTACACATGTATACAGTACTGTGATCACTCAACGTATAATTATGCTTACATGTCACATTGTTGCTGAACAAACGTTTACAGTGTTATGGTCACGAGGCGTGTACAGTTTGGTTCCGAAAAATATATTTATCTCCTTGGCTGTCCTGTATGATTCACCTGGTAGCGGTAGCTATCACTTGTAGTGTATTGTGCTAAAGACAGTTTTCTTTATTTCGGGATGCGTAGGGTACCAAAAATCGACAGTTTTCTACGGCTGAGACGGTCGGCAGTTGTGTTTTGAAATCTGTTGTTTAAAATTATTCAGGGATCTTTTATTTTACGATGTACACTCTTGATAAATAATCTGGTTGCCAAAACCCCAAGGTAACAAATGCTTATTTTAACTTTCATATAGCATAAATGGGGAACTGAGCACAAGGAATTTTCCTACGTATGCATTAAACGGAAACTCAGGCAAGTTCTTGTGACCGCAAATGTGCTTGCATGCAACGCAAATATCTACGCATCAGATGTAAATAAGGTTAAATGCGTTTCTGCTCCCCTCGCTTACTGACAAATTGAAAAAATATAATCAGCCGGAGACATTTAAAATAGTTTACCTACCAGGAAATTTCGATTAGTTAGCTAATGGAACAGCTGGGCGAAGGAGAATTTGTCTTTTCCTTTCAAAATCTGAATTTATGTACTTTTCTGACACAATCAGAAGAGAGTCGCTTGCTTGTGGGCAGAGAAAAGGGCTAAGAAAAAGAGACGCTAGCAAAAATGACGAGTGCGTTGGAGATCAGGGGCGATCAAGCCCAAAGTGACTTCTAGTAACCAGGAACATCAAACTCTATGATTGTTGATAAAATGAACAGTTAAACTTAATGCAACGTAGTATAGCATTTGGGATGTTGTTCTTAATTTATATGTCTTGCAAAATTAATAATCCCCTCTCAACCTAGAATTCGCAGCCAATGGACACAGCTACCATGTTGAAGTTACAATGAAGGCTCCTGCAGGAATGGCGGCCACATTCAAGGCATTCGCGTATCAGAACAAAAGCAATCGAAAAAGCTGTACAATGGTGTCTGACAACAGCATGCTTTCTTGTATGGTCACGGGACTCCAGCCTTATTCCACTTACACTGTTGAACTGCAAGCCTGTGAACCAAACGGTGTTTGCAGAACCTATGGCGACAGTCTAACTGTTCAAACCAAGCCTGCCGGTAAGAACGTATTTCTTTTGGCTTAACTGCCATATTATGCAAACTGCGCTTGGCATAACGGCCGGTCAGACATCGTGTACGTGCAAGTGAATTTCGTTAGTCGGAATCAATGGCTCCTTTGTACTAAAGCCTTTATGGATCTATTGCGTATTTGAAACCTGAGCCGCCCATTGCCTTAGCCAGCATGTACACCCCTCACTTTATGGGAAGTTTGTTATTTGGTGCATGCTGTTTCATTATTATTAAACAACCAGCATGCGACATACATGTTAGGCTCTTCTGGACCCGTCAACCTTTGCGCCTAATCTCGCTAACTCAAGCTCAGCAGATCGACTGGTGCTGCGAAATCAGCACTAGGGATTTCGTTTTTATGCTGCACCAGCGGATTAGGTCACGCTTGTTCTTTAGGATCAGTCTTATTTGTATATAGGGTAGATGAATGTCAGAGTTGGGCCGTCACTTTCGAGAAGCCTTAAACATTCTGTGAGCAAAAGGTCGTGTTTCGCAGGCACTGGCAGGCTGTTTAGTCACAAGTATCGTTTCCACTTCCGATCATCTTAAAATTCTCTTGGATCAAGAGTTAAAGACTGCAGTAGATGCTGGGTAAATCTGCCCCACTGCAAGCTAATTTACGCACAGACTGTGAGGCGCACAGTTGACCCCGTTGCTTGCTGCGGTCAGATTGTCAATTGCCTCACGCGATACATGGCTAAAAATAAAATGAAAAGCAAAATTTTCATAGGACAAATACGAAAACCAACAAATGTTGACCGAAGCTCCCTGAAGTGTGCCTAATAAACCTCAGATTTTTGTGAGATATTAAATTAGTTTCGGCCGGTAAGTTGAGATACTATAATGCAGTCTAACCTCCTCTGCATAGCTTTATCTATGAACCATGGAATTTCGCCATAGGGAATAAAACAAATCCTAATCTAGGATTAGAGTTGCAGGCTATTTTATGTCGCTATGTCGAGTTCTTTTCGGATAGCACGACAAAATACCAAATTACCCACTATACGAGCAAGTTGTCGTTAACATTTTTGTACACGCCGCTAATATTCTTAGTGCTAGTTAATTTCATTACTTAATAACTGTCGAAAGAGGATTTTAAAAGCACCAAATTACAGTAATCAGCTTTAAAAACCACAACTGCAAATTTCGCATCATCACCAGCCTGTTTGCGCTCGGTCAAAATGTTGTCAGGTCAAGCATAAGACGATTGCTAACTCCGAATCAACATCAAACCTGAATAGGGTCACATATACTGAACGCTGTTTTCTCAGGTTCTCAGGTCCGATCTACTCACTCCGAACAATTCTATTTGCCTCACCGTCTCACACCAATTGCTCTAGGGTCCGTGGCCGGAGGCGACTGTTGAGGTGGTGATGGTCGTACACAGGTTGTCACCTGCAATGCTTTCATCGCCTATCCTTTCCCATCTTTTAGTTCCACGTTATGTCGTTGTCGAAAGTCGAACGAACAAGGCCTTCAGCATTTTTTGGTCCAAGCCCCTTGAAGATCCAGCTGACCATTACGTGTACAAGGCCAGAGCTGTCAACAATCATAACGGCCAAACCCACACATGCCAGGCGACCTCATCAGACAGTATCCTATCCTGTCGGCTGGAGAATCTCCCACCAAACACTTGGTATGATGTGTCCGTATCGGCATGCACGTCTGATGGAGAGTGCAGCGATTACACTGATAATGTACTGGGAGAAACCTTACCAAATCGTGAGTCCTTGATATTACTTTACCTTGATGTCGTCTTCACCCAAATTTCGCATGATTGTCTCATGCACCAACAAGTTAGATGTCGATCTCCGGATGGAAAGAATCGATTAAAATTTATGCCTATTAAGACGCTCGTAATGACCAGACTTGTATAATGCCTCTGATTTTAACAAAAAATAAACAGAAAATTGCGTTTTAACCATGCGTACACATGGCCGAAGAGCAAGTGTATGACAACTGCAACATGGCGCAGCATTTATCGGCGTAGTATTAGCTCTATAACTGGCCCTAAAAATAGTAAGCACGATGCTTGTTCACAAGTCCAGCATGGGTGATAGTAGGTTAGATGTAACCTATCCCCTAAATTACATCTGTAAGGTAGTTTTCAAAAATTAAAAAATTTTACTCTATTGCGTTTCTACACCTGCAAAATTTGAATGCGATTTCAATTGAGTCGGTACCCAAGAATTTTGCCCCAGATATTCAATGAAATATAAAGCAGTCTTAAGAGGTCACTTTTAAGTTATTCAACATGCGGAGTTGTTTTAGGACAAGTCTTTTATTCACCTATCTTTTTCCTAATTTCCCGCAGCTGCAGAAGATCTGTTTTTCATTAGGAAAAAACGAACGCTTTAGAAGGATAATATTGCTACTCCGGAAGTCCGTGTGTCGGGCGATCTTTGCAGAACCCAGACAACAGTCTGAATGTTCAGACCGAGTCCGGCGGTGCGAATTCGTCGGGCCTCATTTTCTGCGTCAGATATGCACTTAAATCGAACGTGTTTAATTTTTAGCACCGCGGAACATGGAGGTAGTGAAAGTAGAGGACTCATATGCAGAGTTGAAATTTGGACCGGCGGAAGGTGACCCAACCAGCAACTTTGAGTACTATGCTGTTCTTGATCCAGTCAGTGACACAAACATGTACGGAAAATGTATGAAAAGGGAGGAGGTGAATATCGAGTCGGCCTGGGGGGCATATAATCTCATGCCCGCAACAACGTACCACTTCCGCCCATCAGCCTGCCACCGGAGTTCCTTGAGGTGCACGGAGGCTGAACCGATTACTCTAAAAACATTGGATCCAGGTGAGCCAGCGTGCGTACTGTCACATAATTTTGTCTACTTTGGCCTTGTTCTTCTTTTCGTGAGATTCCCTCTGATCTTTGTGCATACACTAAGATTATACACATACACTTTGTTCTTTATAATTATAATGGTTGAAAACGTAAGCAAACAAGCCAACCCCACTTCCATATATTCCTACGCACTGCCTTGGAGCAATTGTTTGAGGCCTCCATGTAATACGCATACGCCCGCGGAACAGGCAAAATACGGTTAGACTTAGTAATAGTCAAAGAAGCATGAGTTTGGTCAGACATAACGTCCCTAGACTTTTATGCAATCTGATATTCCCCTCAAACACAAATACTAGTTAGTGATGTTTGGATTTTACCTAACAAAAAAATTACGCAATAATAACTTGAAGTTTGAAATAACGCACACAAGCAGCCCAAAAAGTGGTTACGGCTACAAACAAGAAGTTGACAGATAAGCTCATACATACGATTTTCACTGAAGCCGTTTCAATTTTAGAGGAAAACCGGCTCTACGTTGCTCAACTGCATAATTCCAGCGCCTACCTCGTCTGGAAATCAAATGTGTCTAGCAACGACTTCGAAAATCACTATTTTAAATTTCATTCGGCTGACAATTCCCTGGAAGCCTTTAAAACACCCGTCACTTCAGGACTCTTCAGTGGCGTGCTTAACGGCATAACACCTGGTCGTACTTACATCATGGAATGGAGCCTTTGCGATAAACAACAGTGCAGTTATTTAAGCGACTGCGTTTTGTACTCGAGAATACAAGGTAATTCACATTTCTGCATGGCAATTCATAAATCATTTCTTAAGTGCTCGAAAAATTAACATTTCTATATAATTGAGTTTTGTAAAGAATCTAAGACAGATTTATGCAGGCCTTCATTTAACATGGCTTGATTTAAATGTGAAGGTATCTGGCTTTGCTTCCATTCATGCTTATACTAGTGCTGCCGCACATATATCCCGTCATATATATATATATATATATATATATAAATTATGACAGTGGGCGCTCGCCGATCAGGTTACGGAACATGCTCGTTCCGCTGTGCCTTGGGGCTCATACTAGAACCCTCACAGGCAGTCGCACAGCGACTAGTAGTAGACATAGACGAGATGGAGCGGACAAAGATAAGGGAGACCGGAATGGCCATTTCTGGCTTATTAGCCGTCATCAGCCAGTCATACCCAACCCCAAGTGTGGATCACTTGAGATTCGAACCCGGGATCTTTGGTCATGGAGTTTGACGCACTACCATTGAGCCACGGGCCCGTTGTCCTGTCGGTTGTGATCGGGAATATCAATTATGACAGTGGGCTCTCGCCGATCAGGTTGCGGAACATGCTCGTTCCGTTGTGCCTTGGGGCTCATACTATAACCCTCGTAGGCAGTCGCACACCGATCTATTGGCTTCAAGAAGCAAACAAGCCCCGTATGGGTGGCAAACGTCGCGAACAGGCAACCAATTACCAGGCCGAGGTCGGCTAAGTCATAATAGCGGAGAGGATGTACGACAGAATCTAGTTCTCCCATGATTATTTTTGGAGTTGCGTAGTTTACAAACAGGAGAACCATGCACGACCTGTTTTTAGAGCGATTTGTCCCACGTAGCCCCTAATAGAAAGCGCAATCGAATGGGAAAATGGGAAGGTCCCATTTAACGCTGTATGGGCAAAGATCCATTATAGGTTGGGTCATAGATTATGCAAACATAAATGATTATGAATTTGGGCAAAGTGGTTGTGACTTAGAACAGGCTGGCGTCGAGTGCCCCACTTGCTGATACCACGTATTGGGAGGAAGTCGCTGGATTAGGTATTTACTTAACTTTGTGAATACTCAAAAATCGAACAGTATTTTCAAACTTCAGCTCTTAAAAATGTTGTCAGACCGCTGCACTCACTTATCAAAATGAAGAATAAGTCTTTTCAAAAACTCATTGGGATTGCCGATGCGTAGATGGGAAAGAGTGGGACTTGTTGGAAGATTACTTTGATCTGACGATATTCGACTTGTCATTTATGCATGGATAATTTAAGCGGATTCTTCTTTATCGCAGATGTAGTCATAAAGCAATGTATACGCAGTTTCGACGCAATCATCGCATGGGTCCAACTAATTAAAAACATCGATTCGCTCACAAATAAACTGAGAGATTCTGCTTTAATGCTCATTTTCGTCAAATGCATTTCCTCCTCAGGCGAGACCTTTGGTAATCTGTCTTATCGCTGTTGACACGTTCTGACTGTACGCGTGTTTGCGCAGTTTCATAACGCTTGATTCCATGTCATCAGCTAAAAGGGCTCCTTACTTACTTAGGTGTCAAGCTAAAGCAACCGACAGATGTTACACAAACAAGGGCGCTTGTCAACTGGCAAGTGCTTTATAACGGAGAGGAGGAAGTGAGCTACGTCTGGGTGTACGCAGTGCCAGTGGACGAGAAATTACCTCAGCAACAATGCGCTGTCAAAAACAAGCAAGGATGCACTCTGGAACACCTGCGACCCGACACTGAGTACTACCTCATGGTGAAAGCCTGCGAGAGCGCCGGCTACTGCGCTGCTTTAAACAACCAAGCGAAAATAAGGACGGCAAAACCCTGTAAGTCAATTCTCAGGCAAATCTCACAGTCGTCAATGAAACTACCCTACAGCATGTGAATGAGCATTAGGTAGTCAGCGATGAGAAATAGAGGGGAGTGTCTTAAAAAACAGTGTAGCCACACACACACAACTGTATGAACTATGGAATCCACACCAGCTTCTCAATCGTAATAAGACTTTTCAAGTTAGATATCTTTTCTCTTATCAATCGGTAAACGGACAAAAGCAAATTAGTCATATGAGAGACACGCACTGACATCTTAGAGTGATCTTCATCTGGCCAAGACGGGCCAGAGGGCGTTTGTGCGTACTTGGCGATAGTTCCAACACTCCGACCTGCGGGCTGCCGTGACACGTATGCCGACTAGGATTCGCGACGGTCCGATTACAGCTCTGTGTGTCATGGCCGTCGAACTTGCCGACCCCCGTGCACTTCAATTGTCGTCCGATTCGGCCCACATGACCGCGACATCAGTTAACTGGCCTAGTAGCATGAATTAGTTGCGTGCAGGTTACACACAGTCATAAGGGCATCTTACTTTTCGCCTCGAAATGCATGTTTTCTTGTTGCTGTTGTCCCCCACATTCCAGATAAAAACATAGTGCGACTCAAGCTGTAACTACCAGTATTATGAAAGTGATTTATTTTGCGTTATGCTTCCTCTAAAATTTATCTTCGAATAAACAGCCGGCTGGGTTAAGCGATATCACCGTTAAGAAGAATAAACCGACAAATTCCCTCTGTGCGTATAACGGTGGGACGAAATAAATGAAAGCTTCGCATGCGAATTTGGTTTTTTAGCATCCCCAGCAAGCGTAAAGATCGCCTTTGGAGCTAATGCGCTCCCAATGACAGAAAATGGCTCTTCTTTGATACAGGCCTGTTTAGTAAACTCGCTTTAGGGGAGATATATACACCTAAAATACAAGAGCAAAACAAATCCTACTCAACTGAAAATAAGTGCACGAGAAAGCTTCACCGTGATGTGATTTCAGCAGCATGATAATTAACTTATGATTGATCTTTAAGGTAAGAAAGATGCGAAGAAAAAAGTGAAGTAGGCACACACGTTGGGCTCGGTGATGTTGACCTAAGTAAAAGGACAGTATACTTAGTGCAAAAAACCGCTTGGTCATATATTCTGTGCGTTGATCGTCTTTTTTGAATTCCCAGTCAGAATGACCCCTGCTTTGCCCTTTTACAGATATTTTAGAGTCCCCACGCGATGCCAAGGTTACTAATGTCCAGGCCACATCCTTCTCTCTGATCTGGGCCAAACCGGTGGCTGACAAACATAATTCTTTCGAATACAAGGTTTCCTTAAAAACACCAGATGACCCATCGATCCCGGAGAGTAGCTTCATTTGTGAAACAACCTTGGCCAACGGAAATGAGATTTGCCAAATTAAAAATCTACACACAAATTATTCATATTCAGTCACGCTGTCAGTATGTGCAAAAATGGACATGTGTTCTAATGCTGGTGCACCAATCATCGGCAAAACTGCAATCAAAGGTGGGTGTCCTGGTACTTTAAATATTTGAAATTACAATAAAGCGATAAACATATATCGCTGGAGGCTTTGTTTCGTTAAAGGATTTAAAGTTGTTGTGCGGCAATTACAGGAAACAAAATCTAAAATATCGTTTGTCCGTAAGACTAAAAGAACATTCCTGCTGTTATGTTTTGCAGCTCAGTCTATTTCCGCAAACTCGGAAAGCAATGAGAGAAATCGTCCGGGGTTAACGCGGTGGATTTAGTAAAGTGGCCATCAACAGACCGGGTTTATGGTAACGTGTGCGGTTAAGATTAAGCAATTTAACGTTTTTGAACGGAGTACCTGCAATGTGAACCACATGGTTTCAGCACAGCATGTTTGTAAGTTGATCGATTCGGCAGAAAGATAAAAGTAGTAATGCCATACAAGCGTACGTATAAAAACGTATCCAAACGCTTGCTCTTAGTTTGCACACATTGTAGGCAAACTACAAATATCCGGACCAGCTTTCCTCTGTCCCCGCAAAACCCGTTCAAATAACACTTTTATCAGGTTACAGACTCTTAATTGTCAAAGCAAATGTAATTTACTTTAATACGAGTGGGAGGTGGATAATAATATTTCAGCATAGTCACAGGTCAGGTGTAGACTGGTCAGGGATCGATGCACCGGAAAACAAAGTATGCTCTTTAAGGGTAAATAGACTGTACGGCATTCTAAGATTTTCGTGGATGTTTATCGTACCCAGTTTCATGCTACGCTTACCTTGTTCCTTTTATTATTTTGATGAATTCAGAAGACATCGAAAACGCACAGCATCCACCTAGCGACTTATAATCGATACTCCCGTTTGCCTCTCGACATTTACTATTTAAAAACCTTAATCTAAGTACATAAAAATACTTAGGGTGCCAACTTGACTGTAATATGAACATGTCAGGGCGGCCTTATTGAGGCTATTAGTTTTCACGTTGTTTTATACCCTTTTATATGACATTTATATTTCAGATGGGTACGTTCTAAAAACCACGGCAATTGGACCGCATTTTGCCACAGTGAGCTGGTCAAGCAGCCAAACGAAGCCGGACGTGGAGTTCAGAGTTTTGATTGACTCCTCAACCACCGCGGCGTGCACTTCGGCAGTCTCTGTTGGCGAGCATACCTGTCAAGTCAAGGGTCTGCTGCCTTCAAGGAGCTACACTTTTAAACTCACCGAATGCCAGCTGAGCACAGGTTTTTGTGTGGACCTATACAGCTTCCCCGTGCGTACAACCAATGACGGTAGGTGATTCGACATATATATATATATGCATATGACGGGGAACTTTGTCTTGATTATCTGACATTTGCAAATTTCGACAGGACTATTAGGAGCAGGGAGTTGTTTTTTTGATTAACGTAAAGATAAATAAGGAATGAAGGCGAAATTTCGAGTTCCAGGTGTATACATATTTGAAGAAGAAGAAGAAGAATCGAGCACCGGAACAATTCGTTTATTATCCTGAGCTTTCAGACTCGTACAGGAGTCCATCGTCAGAGGTAGTGGCAGAAACAGGACAAGCGGCAGTTATAAGGCACGTAGACCCAATCATTGACCGACGTCGCACGACTGGAGGTGACTACGAAGGGCTCTGGCCGCCCACACCTACGAAATGGGTCACGAATTTGACTTCGCAGCCACCAAAATAGTTGCCCACGCCGGTCGATGATTGGGTCTACGTGCCTTTTAACTGCCGCTTGCCCTGTTTCTGCCACTACCTCTGACGATGGACTCCTGTACGAGTCTGAAAGCTCAGGATAATAAACGAATTGTTCCGGTGCTCGATTCTTCTTCTTCTTCTTCAGATAAATAAGGATTTAGGCATGGGAAGCGGTGTGCGTAGTTACGTTTGCCGTGCATGTTTTCCGCCGTATTGGCAGCTCCCTGCAAATAACCTATAGGGAATCAGCTCCGCTGGTAAACCCTGCGTGGATCAAATTCGTCGGTTTGTCCAAGCGCTTAGTTTCTTCATTTTGCTGTTACATTTGTCTATTTGCGCATGCTTAAACTCTGTTACAATCTACGGATTTTGGTTATTTCATAAAGCAAACAAGAACAAGTAGGGCATATCACACAGACGACCGGCGAATTTTCTTAGATTTTTATCCGGCGTAAGAATTCCCCTACTTTGGTCAGTTTTTGGATCTTCTGTTGGTGTTGGTAGTTAACAAATAACCGTATACTAAGACAGTGCTGTTTTCGCCGGTAAATTCTGCTGTATATTTGATTGCTTATATGTGAGAACTTAAGAGCCTCAAATATGCTATGCGACATGCCAGCGATACCTAACCAAATTACGCTAGAGACGATATCTGAAGCCTCGGTGGTTGTGTCGTCTATGTCATGCAGTATGAATATGGGTGATGAATGTCGAAAAACAACAAAAGCACCGTTTTTAATCAGCAAATTGCATATAAGCATATAGTGACTAAGGTCTGGCTATAATTGGTTGTCGAAAGAATTCCAGTACAAACTGACGGGGCCTTTCTAAAATTTGAGACATGCTGACCTTACCTATTTCTCCCAACGCACTGGAACGCGACCACAAATAAACCTCCCTGGTGCATTCGTTCAAATTTATAGTTGCACAGACCGCTTTTAACGCCTTGATAAACACAATGAATGTTAACTCAAGCGTTTCATTTAGACTTTTACCGTGAGAAATCTTTTGATTTACATGTACTTACAGCACCAGTACAAGAAATACTCGGCGAACTAGCAAAGGAAATAACTCAGGCATCTGCGACGCCTACTGACGCGACCAGCCAATTGATGATTCGAGTTTCCTACTCAAAATTGACCGCTCCCGAAATTGGCAATCTTAATGGCGTATCTGTTGTGATTACGCCTGTTGAGGATAGCGGCACGTCAGACGGTCCCAACTGGTCATCCTCCTTCATTTATTCTGCAACGTCAGCCAAAATGCCCCAAATTGTTGGTGGGGTAAGTAAAGTTACCGTTTTATAGTCTGACGTTTGACTAATAACTTAACCAAGCAGCAATCCTTTTCTAATGAATTCATGCAATCCAAAAACAATATTAGTTGGTCGATTAAAATGCTAAAAAAATTGCATTAACGGCCATAATTTGGAGTTATTCATATTAAAAAAGATATTTACCAAAATTGAAAATAAATTCTTAAGATTAAGTGCCACACCACTTTTAAAACGGTTATGAATCTTAAGGTGTTTTGATCTCTCTTTGAAAATGATGGACAGAGCATATAAAAAACCCTTTAATGAGTTAGAATTTACAAATGAACATTTATTATCTGTGAAAATTTGGATGATTACACTGTTATTCGTTGTTTTCTTGATATGACTGACAAACGTATGACAAGGCCACATTTTAACCTATACTATTTTTGAAGCATACATATGACAGAGACTTTAAATCACTATATGACAGTAAAGTAGAGAAACAGAAAAAATAAAACCCGTCTATTTAAATGTTTAACTGCTTGACAAGGTTTATTTGAAACTGTCAAAAAAGGTATAAATAGCATGCTGTGTTTATAATTGGACTGCTTTCGACACTTTTCCATTCTAATTAAGCAAGAGTATATAGAGATATTCTTAATACTACGCGGTTTGCGGAGATATTTGGCCCGTTCCACCCAACAGTAGATATTCTTCTGCTGGTCGCAGATTGCTTTGTTCTATTAATTAGATCGCTTGCACTCAGCGTTATTCACGAGTAATTTCGAATTATTAGTCAAATCAGACAAATAATGTCTGCTCACGACTTGCTTAAGCATACAAGGGAAGCTATTAAATTTTTGGTAAGATGTGGTTTGGTAGCTCCACCTAATGGGGACAATACTGTTGGGGTTAGGGTAAAGGGTTAGTGGTCGGGGTTTAGGATAAAGGGGTAAAAGTTAGGTGTAAGGGTTAGGGGTTAGCACAACTTTCCCTTAATCATTGAAAGTACAACCACGCACTCCCAATAGCTTTTCTTTTGCATACAACTACTTGACTTCCTCCCCTGTGCGTTTCCCGGTTCCACCTGTAAAAACCCCCTATTACCACCGGTACCGTAATAGAGGCGACTAGGGTTTATTTACTTCAGGTGAGGCCAGCAAACCACATCCAACCGAATTTTTATGCTTTGATTGCCAATGTTATTCAGTCAAGTATGTTACTGAACTATAATCTAGTGGACTTAGAGTCGCGTAGAATGCTTCGTTTTGTTGTGTTTGAATATCATTCGATTGGCAAAATATTCGAAAATCATGTCATACTGTGTGTTAAGCCAGACATTGCTATTAAATGGGAGCATTACTATATGCTAGGATGGTAAAATGCAACCGAAGAACAAACGCACATATTGTTTCTTCCAAGCATTACTTCTAATTGTTAGTTGTCACCCCGAAGTGTAAACTATCATCCAATTAACTGGCAATTCCACAATGCAGACGTATATAGATCCCATCGACGGCAGTTGGGAGTTGAGACTGCCCATGCCTGAAGCGGCGACTGACTCAGGACTGCCCGATGAAAATGTACTTCTGGGTGCAGGCCTCGGAACCATGATCGACAGCCACGATTATAACGGCCGACTTGCCGCGGGGACTACATTCGTGTGAGCAAATATACTCTTACTTTCCAAATTAATCGCATGCTCCTTCTAGACCTTCCTAATTCAAAAATTGCTTTTGATTTTCAATGTTAATATTTGAAGGAATAGTTCCCCGGAATGAATTTGAAGCAAGCAAGGACAGCAGAATTTAATGGTACCACAAAATTTCGCGACCGCTTCTGTCGAAATTCAAACCTTTGTACCTTTTTCACTTGTTATTTCTGTTATGCAACGACCGGCAGCAGTTGAGAAGCGGTCGCGAAATTTTGTGGTACCATTAAATTCTGCTGTCCTTGCTTGCTTCAAAAATGTTAATATTGCTTCAGAAAAATATGCTTCCGTCCAGTGATAACATGGGTAAAAATAAAAATCACGTGGTTAACTAATCGCTACCTTTTGATAGGGCTATTCGGCCTTTGAGCACTGGACGGACTTCTTTACCTTCGCTCATTTTTATAATAATTGTCAAACGTTTTACCCCTTGTGTCCTTGTTAATCTTCAGGTTTTCTGCATATATGCCAATTGTTTGCAGTATTAAAATGTGCGTTTTTAATTAGACGCCCTGATAAATTTCCTGAAAATAGTTGCAAGTAGCTGTTGAATTCAGTATACGGATCAGTTAAAAGCCTATGATAACAACTGTAAATAAAATGGAGTTATTTAGTGTGAATTTACTTTACGCTTCTTTGTGAGCGGATGTTCATAGGATAAAGTCAAATAGCTCTCATGAGACGAATAAAAAACGGTACCCAAAATCAATAGTTTTCTAAGGTCAAGTGAATTTAAAAATTAAGATAGTAAACTGGCTTTTTATGAAAGGCAAAACAGCAGTTTAACTGGTGTTTTGGCGTCGCAGGATCCAACTGCGGGTGTACACAGATTTGGGCGTCGGAACTACGGCCTCCACAAAAATGTCAACCGAAGGTAATTTTATTACTAGTCATCAAAATGATTTATCTGTCGTGTTCGTGGCATTTGCTACATATTCACTATGATTATGACTTCATTATTAGAAGTAATCACCCGAAAACCTGACCTAAAAGATTCAACGGTTTACAGGACATATAGTACACAAAAAATATTACATTTTAAGTAATTATTATCAATGATGTTTATTCGAAGTTATTACACTAACTACTTTATAGTATACTGGCTTCTGTTGTGACGGCCATATGAACGAGTTTACAATCGCTTCATACTGTGTTGGCACTTTTTACTCATTGCTTTGATGTCCTTATTTTGCTCTAGGTAAACTGACGGACTCGGATCCATATGGAAATGTCATCGCCATTGCTGTCGTCCTTGCCGTACTTTGCGGGCTCTTGATCGCCCTTGTCATCCTCCTTGTTGCAATCGTGCGCGGAAATAGAACTCAAATGTCAAGGTCAGCTAACCGTCAAATGAATGACGAGTAAGTAATTCAACAGGAATTTCCAGTAAAATCCCTAATAAGGAGTAAACATTGAGTTTTGTAATCTCAAGAACCGTTAGCACATATTAGATTGTGGCAACCGAAAAGTAGTCGTTAGAAATGGGTGTTTTTACACGTCTTAATGCCCATAACAGTTTTGACGCTTGATGGCAATCTGCGTAACAGTGCAGAATATCGATTTTCCAACTATCATACAGAATGAAATCATTCTTGCGAGTCTGGTAGGAAATAGAAATAGATTAGTGCAAAAATAACGGAGTACGTTTATGCTATGTGACAGGATAAATAAAATTTGCGGTTTAATTTAGGCAAATTCTCAGATTGCGGGCTACTAAACAGCTCTGTATTCCGCTTTGGACTGATGCGTCCTACTGATCTCAAGATATGTAACGTTCCTCCCATTTGTTCCTCTTTTGACCACAGCAAAATCCGCTATCACAATCAGAGATTTATTTTTTATAGTAAAGTATTTAGGGTTGTTCAGTTGTATGAATAATCTCAGTCATCACCTCTGTTTCCTTTTCAGAACTTATGGCGTTTATAATTGATGTCAGGTAATTCTTTCTAATGCAAAGTGCTTTAAAAAAACCTATCTCAAGTCAGACGTATAGTAAAACCTAAGAAATTGTCACACGAAAATGTTAAATGGAACTCTGAGTTCGACAACGGCCCGCGTTAGAAACCACAAACACTCAAATACCTCAACGCTGTAAAGAGTAAAAAGCCAAAATAGGAATTGTTTCAAGCTCCGTAAGTAGAAATTAAAACCGGCCAAACTTTATATACCTTCAAGATAAAATAATTTTGCTGTCTTTGTTAACAACGGGTTCTGCCTTTAGACGTGTCAGTCGCCATATTGTGCCTGGCATTTTGCTTTACCTTGCATCAGAACAACAGTCGGTGAAAACACGCGATAAGAAAAATATTCTTTTGGAATGGATATTAGCATTTATGACCTATATTGAATACATACCTTTATTTCTATTATTCTCATATTTTTGTTTCAGCAGATTGATTGGAACTCACTTCTCAACGGCAAAACCCTGTTCTGTACATGTTTTTCATATTCATGAGTAAAATTTGGATTTTTAAAAATCTTTTTTCTGCAAATTGAACGTCCAAATAATGAGACCGACATTCACTCCTAAATATTGTTGTTTTCTTCAATGATGGACATTTAGCCTTCCACATGTAACCGTTCCTCTAACTGCAGCCGGATTGCGCCTGCTAATCTACGATTAAGGCTGGCTGAGGTCTTCTAATCCTAGTGTCAGCCATGTTGCTATTGCAGAACTGGGTAGTGTTTGTCAATGGGACACTAGGCGATTTTTGATGAGAAGCGTTTAAATCGGTGTCGCATTCGGTGATATGTTGTACGCATATCCATATTCAGTACTAAACAATATTAGCATGGCACAAGTCCCTGAGCAGGAACGTATATTTCTACACATCAGTCAGTGCGTCGCGCGAAAATTGTGTCACTGCGTTTGAATGTTCTACAGCGGGGAACGCTCCCTCATTGGATACAAGCCTGACCATTTAATGCTGGCTCGTCTGCGATTGAAGACGTCATATGCCGGTACCACCACAACATGCCGATGACATACTGAGTTCCACATAACGACAGCATGGGGTTGCGTGAATTTGGGATTCATGTCAAGAACATATCCTCATGACCAATGTAACTCAATTTAATCTATCCAGCTTTTCTCTCCAAATGTAAATAGGCGACGTTAACGCGCGTGGTTGAATTCATTGCCTAAACAACTGAGCAACTTTGGAAAACAATTGCATCAAAGTAACATTGTAGTCTTTATGCCATAAACGGTGGATCGTAATTGAGGTATGAGTGAAATTCAGGTATAAAAACGGGAAAAAGCAGAGAATGCGAGCCTTATAGGTTTCTAAAAAGTTTTCATGTAATTTAGAATGTATAAATCAGGAATTCCGGCCGTAACTTGGTCTTTAAAAATACATGCGTTCCCCGCTGAGCGACAAAAAGCGAGATCAACCAGCTTGTATTTAGTAAACGTTTGTATCTTCAGTCCTTTCTTGCAATATTAACTCTGGAGGCGGGTTTTTGAGATAAATTGAAAGTTAACAATTTGATATCGCTCATAGGCAGATTTTGTCGACTCACATAGCCAAAACTGCGAAAATATGCACTGGATGAGAACTAATAACGGACTTGGTACTCAGATACCAACTCCATCAACAGGCATCTAGACCTTCCTTCAGCCTATAAAGTCCTACGTCATTACATACACCGTGACGAAGACAAGACAATCATACGGAGACTAAGAGTGCCGAGCAAACACAGCCTGTCGACCACTTCACCCAAAAGGGGAACGCAAATGCAACCAAACCCAATTGAGGTGACGACACGTAATACAGGAGGCCACCAACAGGCGACGGCCAGTAGGCCAAGGCAACGAAAGAAGAAAAAAATCGATCGGCCCAAGACCAACTAATGCGGCAGTCTATTCAAAAAAGTGCTGATCGATTTTTTCACTTGACGCTTTGACAATGGAGAGCAGCTCCAGCTCTTCGAATCTTCAGCCAGAATAGTCCCCCGATCCGGTGTGCAATTCATTCTCCTCAGATTATCGACCCGGATCTCCTACTTTTGCTAACCTGAGCTCAACGTGTATTGCTAGTTGAGAGTTTGGATCTAGCCTCCGAGTGGCCGATTTGGACTCTTGTGGGCGGATCTGCAATTTCCGCCGCTTTACCCAGCGTAGTAACAGTCGTCCTCATTGCAATTTATTTTGTAGACAACACCTGAGATTTCAGCGGATGGTAGTGTGTTTTTAGGTTGCATCAGACGACGCTGTAGGGTTGTTTGCGGTTGATGGATGGTCCACAGCTGTGATGTACACATTGAATTATCAGGACAAAGTAAAACACTTACTTGAAGACTAGCAATTCTGTAAACCATGCCGTACCAGTGAAGTTAAAAATCTAGTCACTCGAATAAAAGAAAGCCTCAAGACTCAAGGCTAAAAAGCAATTACGTCCAGCGACGGGTTTTTCATGAAATCCACCGACTCCACCACGGCATGTTTTTACGGTCTGCCGAAGGCACGCAAAGAAAATTCCGGTGCAGGCAAAGATACTAGTTGAGAAGAAGATGAAAAGGAAGATGAAGAAGCGATCGCTGGATCAGGAGCTCTATTCGCCTTTCGTTTCGGATCCTCACTTGAATCCATCATCAGAGACAGTGGCAGAAACGGGCCGCTGTCTCTGATGATGGGTTCCAGTGAGAATCCGAAACGTCAGGCGAATAAATCCCTTGTACCAGGAATCACTTCTTCTTCTTAACAAAGAAAATGTCTCATTTAGGCCACTCGTATCTGTTCGTGACACTCCGAAGTACGGTTTGGCAAAATGGATGTTCGGTCGTCTTAAGTTTTGGCCGAAGTCTCACCAACAACAGTAGCATCAGGGATCCCATTCCTCGAAAGCATTAAATAACTGAAGTTAGAGCCAGACGAATGCATGATATCCGTTGATGTCGTCTCGCTCTACACCGCCATTTCACAGCAGCAAGCGATATACATTGTGAGCCAATTATTGGCCGTGCGATATGTGTAGGGAAACAAGCCCCTCAAGTCTAAACTTCTGCTCGCGCTTCTGCAACACTGACCAAAAACATATCTCACCTTTGGCGAACAAATTAAGGGCACTCCTATGTGTTCCCCTCTGTCAAACCTAATTACTAAATTACTTCTTCAACGGATAGAACACTTATTCTTCACTAAGTATCAACCAAAGTTCTGGGCTCGCTATGTCGATGATACCGTTGTCTTTGTCAAAACAACTGACATTAAGCACCTAAAAGAACTACTGAACTCGGTTGATCCGGACATCCAATTCACCATAAAAGCCTAAACAAACATCTAACTGCTCTTCCTTAACGTGCTTGTGCGCCAGTGTACAAATGGCCAACTGCAAAGCACAGTATTCAGAAAATCCACCGACACAAGGCAAATCCTATACTTCAATAGCAATCATCCTCTGTCCCAAAAGCGTGGCTGTGTTTGATATCTATTCTAAAGACTCGCATCACACTGCAGCACACCGGAAGATAAAAGGGCTGAACGACTGTACCTTCAAAACCTCTTTGCAGCTAGTGGTTATCCGAGAAATTTTATCCAGAAAAGCAGGCGATGAGCGTACAGACGACGGCCAAATGAGCAGCAATCTGAAGTCTGGAAGGCCATTCCCTACGTTAAAGGAGTTTCCGAGGCGGTGTATCGATTGTTACAACCCGCCAGAGTAGGCATAGTCCATCAACCCCAGGCAACCCTACAGCGTCGTCTGATGCAACCTAAAAACACACTACCATCCGCTCAAAATCTCAGGTGATGTCTACAAAATAAATTGCAATGAGGACGACTGTAACTACGCTGGGTGAAGCGGCGGAAATTGCAGATCCGCCTACGAGAGTCCAAATCAGCCACTCGGAGGCTAGATCCAAACTCTCAACTAGCAATACACGTTGAAGAAACTGGGCATACATTCGATCTCCAGAGAGCTACCATCCTAGGCCAGGGCTACAAAAGCAGAACGGCTAACACTCGAGGCTTAATAATCCGATGCCGACTCTATCACCAGGCATCTGAACATTCCGTAGCCCACAAAGTCCTATGTCATCACGTCCGTACGGCTCAGGACCAAGTAACCACAATGGACTTAAGAAGACCATGCATAGACAGGCCGACGGCGAGGAAGAGGAACCACCAGACCGACCACCCGACGAAGCGGTGACTCATAAAGCCCGGAGATAAAACGTCCACCAACCATTGCCCGAGAGGCCGAGGCAGCGAGAGGAGGGAAAAAATCGATCAGCATGAGGCGGACCAACGCGACAAGCCACTTGAAATTTCTGGTCGACTAAGTGCCCTTTACGCTTTGCCAGTGGGGATCCAACCGAGCTTTTTGAAACGTCAGCACCCAAATAAACCCGTTCCGGTGAGCCTA